TTCAATGAAGGAGATGTTGATATTCTCTTTTTTGATAGAAAAAAAATGGACATGTTCATGTGAAGCTCCAAATGACTGGTCAATTGTCTTTTCAACGTATATTTAAGGGATTTTGAATGTAGTAGAGAATTTCAAATGGGGGATAGGGAAGAAATTATATAGAACTCTGATTCTACTCAGTACCAGCAAGCTGAGTATAGTATATTTATCCCATTGTAAACATTTGCATAATTGTTTAATAGTTTATAAGCTTCCTGATAATAAAACTAGCTGTGTCTTGTTCACAGCTGTAGTTTCAGCATTTAATATAGATCTGTTACATAGTAAGTGCTCAGGGCTGGAGGTGTGTTTCAAGTGGTAGAATGCTTGCTTTTCAAGTGTGAAGCCCTGAGTTCAAACTCCACTCCAAACCAAAAAGAAAAAGAAAAAAAGAAGGCAAAAAATAGTAAGTGCTCAACAAACATCTGGTGAATGAATGAATGTACTGTCCAATTTGGATATGTGCATGCTTGTGTGTGTGTGTGTGTGTGTTTCCTTGTTAGTGGTGGAAATAACAATAAATCAATGCACAATGCTTAGCACAATGCAGGCAAAATGGCATGTTGCTTGGAGATACCTAAAATATCCTCCCTTTTCTCCTGTTACTTCCTTTTTTATGTAGCAACATATTTATTTGTTGCCTTTCTTATATATGTCTTTCCATAACATCAGGAGGACCTTGTTGTGTTCATTCCCCCATATTTCCACAATGTCTAAAACATTTCATGGTAGACATTCAAATGATATTTGCTGGGGATTGAACCCAGGGTTTTCCACCACACCAAGAAACCATTCTATCACTGAACTGAATCCCCAGCCTTCAGTCAATATTTGTTCAATAAATAAATGATCATACTAACCTTCAAAGAATGGAGATATTTAGATATACTAACCAGCCCAAATTCCTGCCTTTTCTTTGAATAACATCAGAAAAATTTTATTATACTTCACTACTTTACATACTATTCATATCAAAAGAATCAGGGTATTTACTTTTCTAGAAAATAGTTTCAAATTTTCATCTAAATTGCCAAATAATATAACTCAAGTGATCATCAAATCAGGGACTGGGTTAAAGAAATTTTGTCACAGCTGTTGACTAGAGTGCAAAGCAGCAATTTGAATGAAGAGCTCTATGTACTGATATGAAAAGATCTCTAAAAACACATTGCTTTCTAGTGGGCAGAACACTGTGAATTCTAGGCTACCTATTGTATAGAAGTGGTGGAGAGAATGCACATAAAGAAACCCTAAAAAAGATACATTGAAAGAATAGTGTTTCGCTGGGAAGTGGAGGTGAGGAAGCTTCAAGACCGGGGGTAACAGGCAGATTTTTCTTTGTGTACTTTTTATGTTTTTGAACAATTCGAAGATACTGTGTCAAAAAACTAAAAACTGAGACAAGTTTATATCTAAAAATTTAGTGTTGACTACTTCCTTCAGTTGAAAGAAACCTTCAATTCCCAACATGGTCAAAAAAAGAAAAAAAAAAAAGTTGCAAGAAACCTGATACTAATTCTGTTCAGAGGTTACAGCCAAATGGGCAGGTTGTAACTTGACAGCAAATAGAAGAGACCAATAGTTCTCTTTACCAGGCATTGTTGCCAAACAGAATGACATTTGAAAACTTGAGAACTCAGAGTGATTTTCTTTCTGTCCTAAAGAGCATACTTGTTGCCTTACAGCCTGAAATTTCTGTTAATGCTTTTCCTCCCATGCCCTTTAGACAAGAGTGCAGTGATGGGTAACACTTTACTAAATCTGGACCCCCTCAATTTTCCTGTATTTTAATGTTTCATATGAGTTTAGTTCTGAGTTATTATCAACATAAAACAGCACTGTCCAAAAAAGAAATCTCCGTACTGTTTTCTGTTTGCACTCACCATTATATGGAAGCCACTAGCCATATGTGGCTATTAAGCACTTGAAATGCAGCTAGTGTGACCAATGAAATTTTAAACTTAAATCTTCTTTTTTTTTTTCCCTTTGGCAGTACTGGAGTTCAAACTCAGGGCCTCAGGCTTGCTAGGCAGGCACTGAGTGGCCCATGCCTAAAATCCTAGCTACTCAGGAGCAGAAATCAGGAAGATCAAGGTTCAAAGCCAGCCCCAGGCAAATAGTTTACAAGACCCTATTTCAGAAATACCCAACACACAAAAGGGCTGGCAGAATGCTCAAGTGGTAGAGTACCTGCCTAGCTAGCCTGACACCCTGAGTTCAAATCCAGTACCACAAAAAAAAACTTATTTAAGTTAACATAAGCAAACTGCTACATATGAACAATGCAGATAGTCACATAATTCTGGTTAAAGCAATAGAGGCACTCCTTACATCTACTATAATCCTGAGTTGTGGAAATAAACTACAGGTAAAAGTTCTCTGTTCTGAAAAAGTCACTTATTCACTCAACAAATATTTCTTAACACCCTCCATGGGCCAAAGTTATTGTAATTCTAGGGATTGTAGCATGAATATAACAGACAAGGTCCCTGCTCTCATTGAATTTATATTCTAGTAGTCAGCAAACTATAGCCCATGGGCTAAATTTGTTTTCAGATAGCTTGCAAACTAAGAATGGTTCTCACATTTTTAAATGGGAAAGGAAAAGCAGGATAGTAGTTTATGATACATGAAATTCAAGTTTCAGCATCTGTAAATAAGGCTTCTGGGGAAACCCAGGCATATCCATTTATTAATGTATTGTCAATGTCTATGGAAGAGTTGAGCATTTGTTACAGAGACTATTTGGCCCACAGAGCTCAAAATATTTACTATCTTGTCCTCTTCAGAAAAAGTTAGCCAATCCCTGTTCTAGTGAAGAGTAGTATATAGGCACCATGATGAACATTTTGCATTAATTATCACATTCAGTCTTTGGAACAGCTCTCCAAAAGAGGTTCAAATCTATTAGTTTCTCTACTGGTAAAAATGTAAAATTGAGACTCAGAGTGATTAATAAGTCAAGTAAGGCCACAGTTTACAAGTGGCAAAACTGGAACCTAATTCCATGACTATATTATTGAACTTAGCCAACAAACTATAGGCTAGATCTTCTCAAGCTTAAATATACATCTTAGTAATTTAGGGAATTTCCTTAAAAGGTTAAAATCTACTAATTCAATAGGTGTGGGGTGGGGCCTATGAATATGTATTTCTAACAAATTTCTTGATGTTGATGCTGCCGTTTCACAGATCACATCAATCATAGCTATGCATTAGAATCCTGAGGGCAAAAAAATGTTTTTATGCTACTGGGGTTTGAACTCATGGCCTTGCACTTGCTAGTCATGCACTCTATCACTTGAGCCACATTACCAGCCCTTTTTTGCTTTTTTCATTGTTTTGGGGATAGAGTCTCACATTTATGCCCAGGCAGGCCTGGACTGTGATCTTCATATGTACAGGGCCCACTCCCAAAGATGCTGATGTAATTGATCCAAGACCAATTAAATTCTGACTTTATAGAAATTTATAGTTTTTGACTGGGAATCATTGCTTTACTGAAATCATACTGAGCTGAAGTAAAATCATTCAATTGGGAATCCAAAGACCAAAGTTCTAGCTCTAACTCTGATATGACAGGCTAAAGTCAGTTGCTTCCCTTTTTTGGGGTTCATTTTCTCTGCAGGTGAAAAATGAGGAGGTTCAAACTGAGTGATCCCAGAGGGCTCAAGATCACTGACTTGTCTTCCTACACAAAGATGAGGGAGGATCAGCAGTACCCAGATTTCTATTGCATTCTGTGCATCAAAATTATGCCCAAACCCCAGGTTCATTTAAGATAAACTTAGTTGTTATCTGGTATTTTGTATTGTTTTGGCAATTTATCAATACAGACATGCTTCCACATTACCAGGCTGTTTTACACCACACAAGTAGAATTGCAGTTAAAATTACGATTTAATGATTTTAAGAGTAGATAGTGTTTCATTATAGGAAAATTATAGAAACTGTAGAGAGGAGAACCTCAAATACTCGTAATCCCTAGAACTTTATTTCTATTAGCCTCAATCAAGTAAATGACATTCTGATCAAATGATTTCCCACAGAAGCAGGGAGGGCTAGATGACCCTAAACGACTGCCCCCGCAAAAGCCCTAAAGGTTAAAGCCCTTTTATTGTATCTGCAAGCCTGAACTCGATTGTTGTGTGGGCTCCTATTGAGAGCATGGGAACTGAAACCTACAAACTAGACAGACTATAAACTTTGACAGTGCTTTCATACCTAGTTGGCACTGGGCTACTCTCAGTTCCTTCATCTGTAGATTATTCACTGTGAAAATTTCTCCTTAGTATTTCTACACTACTTTTGAAATCTATGAGTGAAAGACATTAGATTAGAAGGCTTTAGCTCTTTGCAAAAAAAAAAAATGTTATTAACTAGTGACTCAGAACTTTAGCTCTTCAGAAATGCATATGGACCAGGCACTGGTGGCTCACACCTGTAATCCTCTCTACTCAGGAGGCAGAGATCAGGAGGATCACAGTTAGAAGCCAGCCTGGGCAAATAGTTCACGAGACCCTGTCTCGAAAAAACACATCACAAAAAAGAGCTGGTGGAGTGGTTCAAGGTGTAGGCCCTGAGTTCAACCCCCAGTACCACAAAAAAAAAGAAAGAAAGAAAGAAATGCATATGGGATTCTATAGTGCACAGAAGTCAAAAGAAAGGACTGGGCTCAGCTAGTTCTGGCTTCAAATCCAGCCAATGCCTCTTGCTAGTCATTTTTTTTCTCTGTAAACAGATAATAATATACCCAGTTCACAGAGTTACTCTGAGGACTTAATGACAAAGAATATGTAAAACACTGAGAACAGTGTTTGGAACATAAGGAAGACTTGGAAAATGGTGCCATGATGATGATTATGATGATGATGATGTTGATGATGAATAATAAAATTAGCTTCTTGGGGTATGGATACTTTTGGAACAGAAACAAATATATCTTTTTGTTTGTCTTTTAGATGGATTAGTCTCCAAGGAAATCCTGAGTGCTAAAACATTCAATAAGACTGACTAATGCTAGCTATCTCTTGCCACCATGGAGTTATTACTTCGTGCCAAATGTTTTCAGTACCTAGCATTTCCCAGTTCTATGAGATTCTTGCATAAAGATTATAGAACAGTAACTCCTCAGAATTTCTCCAACTATGAGTCCATGAAACAGGAATTCAAATTGGAGATTCCAGAGTATTTCAACTTTGCAAAAGATGTCCTGGACCTATGGACCGATATGGAAAAGGTATGGGGCAAGGACCAGTCAGACTACAGTTTCTCAACTAGAGCGATTTTGCCTCCTGGGGACATTTAGTAATATCTGAAGACATTTTTGTTGCCAGGAAGGGGTGAGCAGAGGAGGTGGATGGATGTTACTGGCATCTAATGGGTAGAGGCCAGGGACGCTGCCAAAAATGTTAAGGACAGCCCCCAGAACATAGAGTTATCTGACCCATAATGCCAGTAGTTTCATGGTTAATTGAGAAAGCCTGAGTTACATAAATGTATGCTTTTTGGTTGGTTTTGTTTTGTTTTGAAACAAAGAGGAGTAAAAAAAAATAACTCCAAAAGTCAGAAATGGTAGGAAATGTGGCATGGATACATCACTGAAAGAGTAAAGGGAAGTAAGAATTCTAACTTTTGGAAAAGAAAAACAATCAGAATAAATGAGAAAAGACATAAGCCAGAAGAAATGACATTGCTCCTAACATCTAGAAATAATTTTCTGCAGAGAATACATTCCATTAAGTCAGTTGAAATAGAATTTAACTGTATACAATCTCTAAATCCATTTCTGGTTTGCCTTTTTTCAGGCTGGAAAGAGACCTTCCAATCCAGCCTTCTGGTGGATAAATGGAAATGGAGAAGAGGTGAAGTGGAGTTTTGATGAACTGGGATCTTTGTCCAGGAAGTTTGCCAATATACTTACAGAAGCCTGTTCCTTACAAAAGGGAGATCGAGTGATTGTGATCTTGCCCAAGATCCCAGAGTGGTGGCTTGCAAATGTGGCCTGTCTTCGAACAGGTTAGTAATATTTACAATCCAATCATATTTAAGCTAAGCTAGGCAAAAGATTTTAAAACACATCTAAGTAATTATGAGACTGTTTATTTGGGTACCTCATTATATAAATGTAATACTCTCAAGAACCTTGGAAATGTGTTGGAAACATGCCATACCTTCTGAACTACACTGGAAGTTGGGTTTTTCATAATGAAATAGATTAAATGAATGCCAATCAGCAATTGAATAGCCTCTTACTAACTTTACCTCTCCTCTTATCGGACCCATGGTCATCTGAAACTCATAAATCTACAAACTCAGAGAACTCACCCCAGTTTTGTCTCATGTCTTTATTCCTCTTATTGTTAATTGTTCCTCTCATATTTAATTATTATTTATCTTTTGCCTGAAGTTAGACACCTATAACTCTTCTTCCTACTAAGTTAAATACATTTTATAAATTTGACTGCCTATCTGCCTCTATAGTTCCTCTCTTCTCCAATTCTGTTGGCGTTGTCATCTTTACCAAATGGATTTCAACAAAATTCTTTCTAATTCTGATCTGGAGTGTGCCACACCCACCTCAATCCAATTTGTCATCCCTAGCCAGTGTTTTCATTCTAGAGCACAAATTTTATCCTGTTATTTTGCTGTTTGACAGTTATTTGGTAACTCTCTATTGCTTACCAGATATGCTCTGATGTTGTTTTAGAAATATTATGGAACACTATTTTCCCTTTATTGCTGTAATTTCTCCATTATACTCCAGATCCAATTATAGCAAATGGTTTCCTATAAGATTTGTGGTCATTCATATCTTCTGTCTTTTCTACATACTATTTCCTATGTTTGGAAAGCTTTGCCCACAAACCTAACTAAAATGGACAACTCTTACTAGACTTTCAAGTCTCAACTTAGTTATCTCCTCAGACATCCATACACTGATGTCCCTTTTTTCTTCTTAGAAAAAAGTAACTCGTATTTCTACTTTAACTGCCTAGGTATACTATTTACTTATGAATCTGCCATTCTCCTCTACTGGCTGGCACACAGCAAATATTCAGTAAAATATTGTTGAATTATTATTCCTGTTGTCATAGTAAATCATTATATTAAGTAACCAATATTAATTTATTATAATCACTACTTCCATTAGAGGAGTGTTAATATATTCTATTACATATGATCTATGGAGTATTTGTTGGAGAAACAAAGTCAATTTTTGAGCTATGTTTTAACAAAATGATTGCTTTCATGAGTGTTGCTTAAGCTCATTCTCTTGGTAAGGGACTGATTGCCAGGGCTGTAAATCTATTCATATTAATACAATAAGAAAGGAGAGTAATTGAATGGCTACTGGAGAATCTTACAGGGAGGAAAAATGTGCAGAAAAAACTAGGATGCTTCTTTAGCAAGCAGCTTCTTCCTGCTTCTTTTGTTCTGAAGCCACAGGGCCTCTTGTCTTTATCTTTCTCATCTATCTTCCTCTTTCACTCCTTCCCTCTTCTAACATATGGTTTCTCTGCACTCCTCCAATCTGGCTGGTTTGTATTTTTGGTTTGCTACTCAAATGCTTCAGGCTCTAACCCTAAATTAACGCATCCACTAACCCACTAGGGTTTTTTTGTTTTGTTTTTTTTTTTTGCAGTACTGGGGCTTAAACTTAGGGCCTTCACCTTGAGTCACTCCACCAGCTCCCCCCCCCCTCCGGCTTTTTAATCATTTTTACACTTACTCACATGTGTATACATTGTTTGGGACACACACACACACACACACACACACACACACACACACACACACACACCATTACCACTCACCCCTGCTTCTGGCAGAACCTGTTCTTATTCTCCAATTTTATTGAAGAAACAACATAAGGGACAATAAAAAAAGACAGCATTTTGCTAGTTTGAGATGAAGATAGCTATACAGACAGATTCCTAGCATTGCTTCCATGCACATGTATATTGCAACCCACATTGGTTCATCTCTGCCAAACCTCTTCACTACTTCCTAGTCCCTTTCCCATAGTGACCTCTGATAGTTTAAGATTACTATATTCACTCCTCTACAGTGCGCACATCAACCACATTCAAGTTTCAGATTTCCTTCCCTTTCCCTATTCTCCCATGCGCATTCTCCCCTTAGTGTGTGACCCATGTCCAATAATATTACTGCATTTGTTAAGGTCTATAATCTGCATATGAGGGAGAATATGTGATTTTTGGCCTTCTGAGCCTAGCTAACTTCGCTGAAGATGAGGTTCTCCAATTCCATTCATTTACTTGTGAATGACAAAATTTTATTCTTTGAGGCCAAATAAAATTCCATTGTGTATAAATACCACATTTTCTTAATCCACTCATCAATAGTGGGGCATCTTGGCTGTTTCCATAGCTTGGCTATTGTGAATAGTGCTGCAATAAACATGGGTGTGCAGGTGACTTTGTAATGACCTGAGTCGCATGCCTTCCGCTATATCTGTAGGAGTGGTATTGCTGGATCATACGGCAGAGCTATGTTTAGTTTTTTAAGAAGCCTCCATATTGTTTTCGAAGTGGTTGTACTAGCTTATATTCCACAAGCAGTGTTTGAGGGTTCCTTTTTCCCCCACATCTTCACCAACATTTGTTGCTGGTGGAGTTCTCAATGATAGCTACTCTAACAGGAATGAGGTGGAATCTTAGTGTGGTTTTGATTTGCCTTTCCTTTACGGCCAGGGATGGTGAGCATTTTTTCATGTATTTTTTGGCCATGTCTTCCTTCGAAAAATTTCTGTTTAGTTCAGTTGCCCACTTCTTTATTGGTTCATTGATTTTTGGGGGAGTTTAGTTTTTTGAGCTCCCTGTATATTCTGGTTATTGGTCATTTGTCTGATGTATGGCTAGCAAATATTTTCTCCCACTCTGTGGGTAGTCAATTTAGAAATCATTTCTTTTGTTGTGCAGAAGCTTTTTGATTTCATGTAATCCCATTTGTCCATCCTTTCTCTTAGTTGCTGGGCTGCTGGAGTTTTACTGAGGAAGTCCTTGCCTATACCTATTGCTTCCAGAGTATTCCCTGCTCTTTCCTGTACTAACTGCAAGGTTTTGGGTCTGATATTAAGATCCTTAATCCACTTTGAGATGATACTAGTACAGGGTGATAGGCATGGATCTAGTTTCAGTTTTCTGCAGGTAGATAACCACTTTTCCCAGCAACATTTGATGAAGAGGCAGTCTTTTCTCCACCATATGTTTCTGGCACCTTTGTCAAAAATAAGGTGCCATCAGCCTTTTTTGTGATGTATATTTTTGAGATAGGGTCTCTTGAACTATGTGCCTGAGCTGGCTTGGAACTGTGATCCTCCTGATCTCTTACTCCTGAGTAGCTAGGATTACAGGTGTGAGCCACCGATGCCTGGCCCCACTCAGTCTCTTAAATATTTGAGGCAGAATCTGACAGGCACAATTTAGGATAAGCCAGTCAGATGTGGTCAGAGGCAGTTTCATATAATATAAACATGGTTACTGAGACCGTCAACAGGAAGGAAGGCACATTTCTCTTGGAAAGAAGGAGGATAGGGAGGGAATGAATGGTAAATCTAATATTCCAACAATGTTAGTCTTCATGGTAGAATTAAAAATGAGCTCATAGTCATTTGATTTCCTAGTAATTTTCCCTCTTAATAAATAATAGTTAATTAAAATTGAAATAGGATTTCAGTTGTTCCTACAATTTAGGATTATATACATAACAAGATAAAGAAAGGCAAAGGCATGATTAGGACATCATTCTGGATAAGGACTGCCTGAGGGTGAATGTGGATCAGAAAGAGAGATTTGGGGCAGGGCACACAAGAGGCTTCAAACATCTTGTTAAATTCTGTTTCTTAAGAAGAGCAACATATAATGCTTATTTTTATTTTTTTAAAAAGAAGTTGTACTTATACACTTCATATACTTGCTTGCATGTTTGGTACATTTTGCAATTTTAAAAGCATAATTTTAGGGTGCTTTTGAGACATCTTAAAGTGTTATAAATGTATTACTAAGTAGGAGAATAGTACAATAAGTTTTAATATACTTTCAAAACAGAGAAGGTACATAGCACTGCAGAAGAGTAATGCTAAACTGTAGTTTTCAAAGTATGTCCTTGACCAGCAGCATCAGCATCACTGGAACTTGTTAGAAATATAAATTCTCCAGCCTCTCCAAATCTGCTGAATCTAAAACTCTAGCATGCAACCAGAAATCTGTTTCAACAAGCCCTCCAGGGATTCTGATGCATGTTCAAGTTTGAGAACCGCCGAATCTTTGGTAGTTGAGCTTCTATCTTCCTGCAGATCTCATAGGATGACAAGACCAAGGTGAATTAATCAGATCTTGTCATTCACTTAGTAGGTCAGAAATTTCCTTTTGTCAGTGTGCAAAGAGTAGAGCTCTGAATCTTAGGTGGGTAGAGTGGGTGGCTTGGTACCCTGTTTATGAAATAGGGTATATAAAATTATTTTACCAACTTTGCCAGGCACCAGTGACTCACACCTATAATCCTAGCTACTCAGAAGGTAGAGATCAGGAGGATCACAGTTCAAAGCCAGCCCAGGCAATAGTTAGTGCATGAGACCCTATCTCAAAAAAATCCATCACTAAAAAAAGTGGGGCTGGTGGAGTGAGTTCAAGATGTAGGCCTTGAGTTCAAACCCAATACCACAAAAACAAAACAAAACCAACTTATTCATTTCATGAAGGGCCAAAATATGTAGCCTCTCTCTCTTGTTAAAAAACCTACATGAGAAAAAAAAAAGACGTAGTTTAGCTTAAAATTTGGTGACTCTGGGTTTAGAACAAGAGGTATTCACAACTCAATTTATCTGTACTAAGATTTGGAAGGCCAATCTATTCATCTATCTTTCTATACCCATCTATCCCTCCATGTGACAAGTATTTATTGAGTACCTGCCCACAATTTCCTGCCTTAGTCTCCCAAATATTGGGATTACAGGCATGCACCATCATATCTGACTATGGTCACGCCTTGAT